CTCCTCCTCCTTCCCCTCCAGCCATGAGCTGGTATCAAACCGAGACCCACAATCTAGACATATGATGACACTGCATCCTGTTCCTGAGTCTAGAACATTCTAGGTCTGCGCTAACATGGTAGCTGATCCTTGGTCTAGGACATTCTACATCTGTGCTATCCAAAACCGTGGCTGACTCCTAGTCCAGAACATTCTAGGTCTGAACTCGCCAATACAGTAGGTGACTCCCAGTCTAGAACATTCTAGATTTGAGGTGTCCAATGTGGTAGCCAATAGCCACATGTGGCGGTTTAAGTTTAAATTTAAATGTATTAAAATCAAATAACATTAGATATTGTTCCTGAGGGGCGCCTGGGTGGCTCAGTCGATTTAGTGTCTGCCCTCAGCTCAGGTCATGATCCTGGGGTCTTGGGATCGAGCTCCATGTCTGGCTCCCTGCTTAGCAGGGAGTCTGCTTTTCCCTCTGCCCCTCCCCACCCCCCGCTCATGCTCTCTCTCTCTCTCTCAAATAAATAAATAAAATCTTTTTTTTTTAAAAGAAATTGTTCCCAAGTCACACTTGCCACATTTCAAAGACAACAGCCACACAAAGCCAGTGGCCACCAAATTGGATAGGAGAGACAGACCATTTCCATCACGGTGGAAAATTCTATCGGACAGCAATGGTCTAGAATTGGGATCTGCCAGCTCCTTTCTGGGCCTCTGTCTGTTTTTGTAAAGTTTTATTGACACACAGCCACACCCATCCATTTATGTATTGTCTGTGGTTTCTTTTATGTGATGTGACAGAGGCCCTATGGCCCATGAGGCCAAAAATATTTACTCTCTGATCCTTTACAGAAGAAGTTTGCTGAATCTTGACCTAGAACATTTTCGAAGGCTACTGTCCAATGTGGTACACAAACATGGCTTGTGTGACCAAGGAACAGAATTTTTAATTTTGTTTAATTATAATGAATGTAAATATAAACTTAAATCTAAAAACTGATTCCTGATTCCATTCTTGGAAAATCTTTTAAGTATGTTTAGAGCAGGCGGGGTATGTGAACCTTCTTTTCTATAAAACTGTCAGTTTTACAGAATGCAAATAGCAAAAGCAGATCGAGCATTTCTGATAACAACTGATTGTCCAACTTCAGACGGACCGAGAGGCAGGACACACACGGGGTGTTGGATGCCTACGAGGGAAAAAGGAACGTGAGCTCTTATTAACTATGCTGACTGCCTGCTCAAATGATAATATTTTGGAGAGGTATTGGGTTAAAATGAAATCTAGTATGAAAATTAATTTCACCTGTTTCTTTTTTTTTTTTTAAGATTTTATTTATTTATTTGAGAGAGAGAGAGCATGAGAGGGGGGAGGGTCAGAGGGAGAAGCAGACTCCCCGCTGAGCAGGGAGCCCGATGCAGGACTCGATCCCGGGACTCCAGGATCATGACCTGAGCCGAAGGCAGTCGCTTTAACCAACTGAGCCACCCAGGCGCCCCTCACCTGTTTCTTTTTAATTTTTAAAAGTTGCTCCTAGAAAAATGTGAATGCAATTTGTGGACTGCATTATATTTCTATTAGCACTGTCCTAGAACATTCACCAGCTCCTTATTCTCCTCATCACTGGATGACAGTTGTCTTTCCCAGTCATGACAATCACAAATGTCCCCAGACATCGCCCAGGGACCCGTGGGGGCAGAATCGCCCCCGGGGTTGAGACCCCCTTCTGACCTGATGTAACTCCTCCATGAGACAGTGGAGGCTCTCGTGTGTTCCCACACTCAAAAATGCGCCTGGCACGTTCCTGCCTCCCAGTCTCGGCACACTCGGTCCCCACGCCACCCCCACCTCCATCTGCCACAGTCTCCCCTATCTCTCAAGACGCAGTTCAAACGCTCCCTCCTCCAAGAAGGCACCTTGTTTGCCTGCCACCAAGTCATCAGTGGTGGGGCAGGCCCCCTGCTTCCCCTCTGACCCCCCACCCCTGGGATGCCGCCCCCGGCTGCCTTATATCCGCTGTTCATTTAGTGCTCGCCCCATTACAGTGGGTTGAATAGGGACTCCCCTAAAACACAAAGTCCTAAGCCGGCAAAACCTGTGAATGGGACCTTATTTGCAACAGGTGTCCTTCCAGATGTCAGTAAGTCATGGATCTCAAGATGGGGTCATCCTGGATTTCGGGTGAGCCCTAAGCCCAATGACAGGTGTTCTTATAGGAGAAAGGCAGAGGGAGAGGGGAGACGTGTAGACATGGAGGATGGCCATGTGGTGACAGAGGCAGGGATCCAGCTGATGCGTCAATGAGCCAGAGAACATCAAGGATTATGGGCGTCACCTGAAGCTGGAGAGACATGGAGCAGGTTCCCCCCAGAACCTCTGGAGGGAGCGCAGCCCTGCTGACGCCTTGATTTCAGACTTTGGCCCCCAGAACTGAGAGAGGGCAGGTCTCTGTCGCTTTAAGCCCCCTAGTGTGCGGTGCTTGGTGTCAGTGACCCCAGATCACTCACTGGCCCCCCCATTCACTCCTGCCCGGAATGCCTTGCTCCTAAAGCATCTCAAACCCCTGACTTCTACCCCTGCCATCCCTGCCCGAGTCGCTTCCTGACCAACTACAGCTCCCTGCTGCCCCTCTGGCCCCCTCCCTGCTCAGAGAGGCATCCCCGAGCACCCTGTCTGAACAGAACCTGCATCCGGAGTCTGAAAATCACTCTGAAAGACCCCCCCGCTTCTCAGCTCCATGTTGTGCTCACCACCAGAAGCCCTCCCATTGGGTCCTGCTCGGGTCACAGATCAGGTGCTCAGTATGCATCTGCTGAATGAACCAATGTGTGCTGAGCACGCAGCCCAGGGTCTGCCCTAGAGGGGCCCCTAATCCCAGCTGCTGATGGAGCCCAGAGCCCAGCTTTGGCCCCCAACACAGAGGGAGCTGGGCCTCAGGTTGGGGAAAGGGAGGCTGGCTTTGACTCCATCAGGAAAATGGGAGCAGAAGAAAGCTAAGAAGAACTTAGCTGGGGGCACCAGCTAAGAAATGTTAGCAGATCTCCAAGAGGGTACGGATTTCTCTGGACAGAAGGGTCAGAGCTTCCAGCCCGAATCTGATCTCATACACACACACACACACACACACGTCCACTGGACATGGAGGGACTGGGTGCCCGCAAAGTGTCTGCGGTCAAATCCCCGTTCTGCTGTTTGCTGGCCGCCCGACCTTGGACACATCCACTAGAACACTGCTTTGTTCCTCTCGGTGCCCAATGCCCCCAGGCTCCTGGCGCCCGGAGCCGGGCAGACAGCGTGTCGCTCTGAGACCCAGGGGCACTGAGCTTCTTCCTTGCATCCTGGGGGGAGCCGGCCACCGTGCCGCGAGGCTGCTCAAGATGTCCCCCTGGGGACGCCTGGGTGGCTCAGTCGGTTAAGCGTCTGCCTTCGGCTCAGGTCATGATCCCGGGGTCCTGGGATCGAGTCCCGCGTCGGGCTCCCTTTTCCGCAGGGAGCCTGCTTCTCCCTCTGCCTCTGTCTCTCTCTCTGTCTCTCATGAATAAATAAATAAAATCTTTAAAAAAAAAAAAGATGTCCCCCCTGGAGAGGAAGTGAGACCTCCCGTCCGTGGCCGCTCCAGGGGCCAGCACGGTGGCCAGTCCCACAGCCACACTCAAATGCCAGCTGACCACTCAACTGCGACGTCAGGGCTCCTCTGAGCCAGGACCATGCGGCAAACTCATTCCTTAATTCCTGACCCGGGGCCCCTGAGATAACTCATGCTGGTGGCTTGAAGAGACCAGGTTGTGGTATAATTGTTGATAACTAATATGGTCCACAGCACCCCACTGTTCCCCCCGCCCCCCGGGTGCTAACCTGTACGGATGGACCTGCCCTCCAGGTCCGGCTCAGTTTGGGGAGGTGCTGGCAGAACATCCGAGGGAGGGAGAACTGTGAATTCTCTTCTCAGATGTCACTTCCTCAGTGAAGCCTTCCATGACCACCTTCTCTATGGTTTCCTCCCCTCACTCCCCCCTGTTATACTCTTCCGGTGCTGAAGATCAGAGAGGTTAAGTCACTGGCTCACAGACACAGCAAGGACTGCTTGGAACTAAGCAAGGAGCGCCGCCACAGCACTCTACCACTCTTGTCTCCACTTCACCCCCCCCAAGAGGGACACCTTATTCTTCACTATAAGGTTGAGGCCAACCCCAGGACCATTTTTGGTGCTGTTCAGAGTCAAGTCAACCCCTGCCATGATCTCATGTTCCCAGCAGGTGCACCCCGATTATCCAGCCAGCCCTGCTGCACCCATATTCTCAGCATTTATGGCCACAGATGCCACCCAAGTCGCCCCTAAATGCCTTTGAGGCTGAAGAGTCTCTGAGAAATGTAGAGGGAAGCGTGGACACCCCCAGAGGTCATGGGGTGCCATGGATCTCACTGTGGTTCCTTCAATTTCCACCCAGAGGCACTGCCCGGGGACCACCTTCCCTTCACCGGGGACAGGGACCTCCTGCCCACCCCAAGAAGGCAGGGCTGACAAGGGAGAGCCAGCAGGGACAGAGCCTGGGCCGGCCCTGTATGACTTGCCCGGTCCCCTCCCTGCCCTCCCCTCCTCCCTCTCTCCCTCTTACTCACTCTGTTCCAGCCACACAAGCCTCCTTGCTGTTCCTCCAACACACTAGGCACAGTCCTGCCCCAGGATCTTTGCACGGGCTATTCCATTTGCCTGCTAATGCTTCCTCATCCTTCAGGTCTCAGCACAACGACACTAACATGCTGGGCCAGGTGCCCTTGTGCAGTATGCGACCTACACAACCACACAGAACCACTCAGGTGGGAAGTATGGAGCATGACATGTGGTAGGCACTCAATAAATGCTCTCTTTGGTGATCATTTCTGTCTGTCGGCACCTTATACCTCTTTCTGAGTCCAGAGGCATGTGGGCTTCACAGCTGATCCTTGGAAGGGCCTTAGGCTTCCCCAGGCTGAGAGCAGCCCCCCTCCCCAGACAGCACCTCGGACTCACCCCGGGCAAGGTCTTCTGTTCGTGCAGGGCAGTCTGAGCTTTGATGGCGGAGTCCCTGGCACAATAGGTGAGAAAGGCACAGCCTGGAAAGGAAAGAATTGGGGGTGTTAAGAGAAAGGAATGCGGAGACCCGTGTTCACGGTCACATTGATCCCAACAGCCAGAAGGTGGAAGCAACCCAAATGTCCATCAGTGGATGAAGGATAAACACAACTTGTCCTTCCATCCACACACTGGAATATGATCTAGCCTTAGAAAGGAAGGGACCCTGACACCGGCCACAACGTGGAGGGACCCTGAGGACACTGGGCTCAGTGAGAGGAGCCAGACCCCGAAGGACACATCCCGCAGGACCCCACTCCCAGGAGGTCCCCAGAGGAGTCCCGTCCACAGAGACAGAGAGGAGAGGGTGGGAGCCAGGGCTGGGGCAGGGGGTGGGGAGTCCGTGCTTCGTGGGGAGATGGAACGTTCTGGAGACGGCAGGGGCAGGGGTTGGTGATTGCATGACAGTGTGAGTGTGTTTCCTGCTGCTGAGCTGCGGGGCGCCTGGGTGGCTCAGTCAGTTAAGCGTCTTCCTTCGGCTCAGGTCATGATCTCAGGGTCCTGGGATCAAGCCCCACCGCATCAGACTCCCTGCTCAGTGGGGAGTCTGCTTCTCCCTCTCCCTCTGCCTCTCCACCCCCGCCCCCACTCGTGCTCTCTCTTTCTCTCTCAAATAAATAAATAAAATCTTTTTTAAAAAATGCTTTGAGCTGTGCACTTAGAGATGGTTTAGACGGTAAATTTAATGTTATGTGTATTTTACCACAATAAAAAAATGGAAAAGGAGGAAAAATTGTTTAAGATGGTAGATTTTATCTTCTTTTTTACTACAAGTTAAAGATAAACAGAGGAGCCAACTTTTTTGGGGGGCGGGGGCCAACAGCAGTGGTTCAGCTGCCCCCCACCCCAAACGGTGAGCTAGGGAAGGGGAGAGAGGAGACCCCGCTGTTAAATCCGTGGCTGACGCTAGATAAAGAGATACTGAGAAGGCTGGGTGAGGTGCGGTGGGGGCAGTGGGACAGCGGCTGCCTCGGAGAGGGGGTGCACCAGCAACCCCAAAGAGGCAGAAGGCGCCCCGGGACTGGGACGAGGAGCACCGTGGCTCTGCATGGACCTGCTTCGTGGCCTTGGATGGGGCGCCTCTGCCTCCGTGGACGGGGCGCCACCTCTGTCTAGGTCTCAGTTGTCCCCATCAGAGAAGACGGTCCCAGTGTAGGAGGGGGGAAGGGTCAAGGGGCGGGGAGGAGCTAGAGGGGGCGTGGCGCAGTGGCCAAGGGCAGAGCCAATCAGGAGAGGAAGGGGCGGGCCAGCCCTGAAGTGGTCCAGAGCCAGGGTGTGATTGACTGGACGTCGTCTTGGGGTGGGGGTGGCGGTGGGGCTGGGGCGGGGTGCAAAGCGTGAGAACTTCAGAGACAGAGACATTGAGAGAGACAGAAGCAAGGAGAGAGAAGCCCCCAGAGAAAGCCTGATGAGATCAAAGGTATTTGAAAGATGTTTGCCTGAGGCCGGGTGTGGGAGGCAGGCAGGTGTCAGGTCCCCTCGACGGACCCAGGGGACCGGGCCTCAGCCCTGGGCTTTGCCTCTAATCTCTGTGTACCTCATTTTCACTGCGTGTGAAATGAGACCATCGTTGGCCGCTCTGATGCTGTTGGACCCCGTGTCCACCACCCCCATCTCCCTCCCTCTGCCTCCCCCTCCCCCGCAGGATCCCCTGCGCAGAAGCCCTGGTGCCCATTTTTGCTCCAGGCAGGAGCTAATTAAAGCCGTATCCTTCCTTCTGGGATGAGCTCACCAAGCCCCCACTCCCACAGGCGGGGCCGGTTGATGGGGAGGGGTCTGCCTCAGGCCTGACAGGCTCCCTTGGAACCCTGGGGAGAAAGGCACCAGGCAGAGCTGAGGATGGTTTCTAGCATTTAAAAAACATTTGTTGTGAGAATGTAAAATGGTGCAGCCCCTGTGGGAAACAGTTTGGCGGCTCCTCAAAAAAGTTAAACATAGAATTACCATATGATCCAGCAATTCCACTTCTGGGTCTATACCCAAAAGAATTGAAAACAGGGAGTCGAACAGATATTTCAAACAGATATTACACATATTCACAGCGGCATTATTCAGAACGGCCAAAAGGTAGAACAACCCAAGTGTCCACCAACAGATGCATGGATAAACAAAATGTGGTCCATTCATACACTGGAATATTATTCTGCCTTAAAAAGTGGGGAATTCTGACCCATGTTACAACGTGGATGAACCTTGAGGATGTTATGCTCAGTGTCATAAACCAGACATAAGGGGGGTGGGAGGATGGGTTAGCCTGGTGATGGGTATTAAAGAGGGCACGTTCTGCATGGGGCACTCGGTGTTATGCACAAACAATGAATCATGGAACACTACATCTAAAACTAATGATGTAATGTATGGCAATTAACATAACAATAAAAAATTTAAAAAAATAAGCCAGACATAAAAGGACACATCCCTCAGGACCCCACTCCCAGGAGGTCCCCAGAGGAGTCCCGTCCACACAGACAGAGAGGAGAGGGTGGGAACCAGGACTGGGGAGGGGGTGGGGGAGTCCATGCTTCATGGGGACAGATCCGTATGGGGAGATGGAAAGTTCTGGAGATGGAGGGTGGGGGTGGTTGTACAACAGTGTGATTGTGCTTAACGCCATTGAGGTGTGCGCTTAAAAACAGTTAAGATGGGGGGGCGCCTGGGTGGCTCAGTCAGTTAAACATCCAACTTGTCTTGGCTCTGATCATGATCTCAGGGTAGTGAGATGGAGTCCCGGATAGGGCTCGGCGCTCAGCTGGGGGGTCAGTTTGAGATTCTCCCTCTTCCTCTGCCCCTCCCCCCCACCGTGCTCTCTCGCTCTAAAAATAAACAAATCTTTAAAAAATGGTTAAGATGGTGAATTTAATGTTATGTGTATTTTACCAAAATAAAAAATTGTCATTGGGATATATTAAAAACATACCCCCCTAAGAAAGGTGCAGAACATGAAAGTATATAATGTAGCAAATAATCATAAAATCATGTAACCATTTCCCGGGTCAAGGAATAGAACATGGCAGTCACCGGAAATCCCAGTGCTTCCCATCCCATGGCAAGCCCCTCCATCCCCCGGAGGTGACTGCTATCCTGGCTTTTGTGATAACCACGTCATTGCTTTTCATTATGGCTTCCCGCCCCGTGTGTGTCACTAATCAATGTAGCTGAGTACTTCCTGCTTTTGAACTTATATAAGCGGAATCATATAGCATATGTATACTTTGTGTCTAGATTCTGTTACTCAACAACAGATGGCTGTGAGTATCAGGAATTAATTCCTTTTCATAGCTGTGTAATATTTTCTCCTGTGAATATACTGCAAGTTGGCTATCCATTCTCTTGTGAGTGGGCATCTGGGTTGTCCACTCTTAGAGACTATCATGAAAAACGCTGCCATGGAACATTCTTATATAGGTGCTTTGATGCACAAAGGCATATCCAGGAATGGGATTGCAGGTTATAAGGTAGGTTTATGTTTAGCTTAAACAGATTCCTTCAAACAGTTTTCCAAAATGGGTTGTACCAAAGAATTCTCCAACCAACGGTTCTGACAATATTAATGCTTCATTTTCACCAACCCTTGGTTTTGCCAGCCTTTTAAATGTTAGTCATTGTGGTAGGCGTATCACTGCATTTCATTGAGATTGTAACATACATTGCTATAGTTATTAATAAAGCCGGGTACCTTGTTGCTTTGTAGGAGTTCTTTATGTGCTGTGTAAATAAAGAATACTTTGTATTCTTTTATGGTTATATCTGATGCACACATCTTCCCCCAATCCACGGCTGGTCTTTCTACTCTTTTTTTGGTGTTTCTATTTTCTGAATTTAATCCCCCAAGGCCTTCAGGGAAAGGAGAGGCACTAAGACAACTAGCCTAGGGCCTGAGAGAAATTAGGCACAACCAGCAAGAAACTGGACTGCAAGAAGATGTGAAATAGAGGCAAAACCCTTCCTCCTTGGGCCCATTCTTGCCTGTGAGGCCTCATTTGCAGAAAATGGAGTGTGCTAGTCCTGGGAGGCTAGGATAGGACCCCCGAGCGACCTTCTAGGCCATCAGCCTCTGGGTCCGGAAGGTTTTCAGCCAGAGGGACAGAAAGACCAAATTGCATGCCACTGTCCCCGGTGCTGAAATGCTTGCCTGTTCTCTTGACCCCTTAGTTTCTCTTTTCTAATGGGGAGAAATGTGTGATGTTTACCCCTTTCTGGGTAAATACAGCCTTGATGTTCAGTTAGTTCAGTTCCTCTTAGGGTTTAATTGGATCCCCCCTCCCCAAAATTCATATGTTGCTGTCCTAACCCCTCAGGACCTCAGAATGGGACCTTATTTGGAAAATGAGCCATTGCAGATGTAATGAGTTAAGATGAGGTCATCCTGGAGGAGGGTTAGCCCCAATGCTGTAGGACTAGTGTCCTTACAAAAGGAGGAAATTTGGGCACAGAGACACGCACTCAGGGAGAAGGCCATGTGATTATGAAGGCAGAAATCTGGGGGATGTATCAACAAGCCCAGGGACAGTAAGGACTTCCAACAAACCACCAGAAGCTGGGAGAGACCTGAACCAGATTCTCCCTCCATTTCGAAGGAACCAACTCAACCCACACCTTAATCTCAGACTTCTGGCTCCCCGGACAGTGAGCAAACATGTTTCTGTTTTTGAAGACCCCTGGTTTGTGGTACATTTTTTCCACAGCCCTAGCAACCTAATACAGTCCCCAATCAGCACAGACTTTCAGTGGTATTAATAAAGTTCACTGGCTTCTAATACTAATAAACTTGTACTCAGTATTGACTCACTCAATCCTTATAACAACCCCACAAAGTAGCTGCTAGTATTGCCTTCATTTTACACATGAGTGTCCAGGGCACAGAGTGGGGAAGTGACTTGCCCAGGACCACACAGGTGGTAAGTGTGTGCTCATCCAGGCTCCATGGACAGTTTGCTAACCACTGGGGCACATTGCCCGGAGCTTGCATCTTTTAAAAATT